ACTCGATTTAGGTAGTCCCCGGGTTGTAATGTCAGTACTCGCTGTAGGTGGTACGTGTGTAACTCATGTGATTGTAAGATACGGTGGGCTGTACTTTTGAGCACTCTGGTGGTTAGTTCAATAGTCCTCACTGAAGTACTCGGGTCTTCGTCGACAGCTCTGGCACGGTATCTTTCATCAGTTTGGCGGGTCTTCCTCCATCACGCTCTTGACTTGGGAGACGTCCCTCTGAGAAGAGTAAACGATGCACCTTCTTAAACACTCAATGATCAGGGTACTGAGCTGCGTTTGGGTACCTTTCTCGGTAAAATCTGTCAGCAGAACTGGCATTACACCTTCATTCTCCATAAATTAGATGTATATGCACACATCTTGGTACCACGCACGCAGTCACACGATAGTCCAGTGGAAAGCAAAGGTCGTCTTTATGTGAAAATAAACGGTCCGAATCCAAATCACAAGCAATCACAAGAACGTCTATAAACGAAGCCAAAAGTAGTCAGTACGAAATCAACACAAACGAATACGAAAACAAGCGCGGTAAACAAAGGAGCGTAACGTACTGATTTGTGATGTGTAAGTACAATAGCGAAAACCTGGCGTCACTTTCTGTCTCGCTCGCACTTGGTAAAGTGATTCTCTCCCTCTCAGCCACTTTAGTGTCAATACCTGTCTCTCTTACACTTGTTTTTAGAATGCCTCCTTCACTTCAAACTACAATTTGCGACCCTTTGGAAAACCTTGGGTACATTGGAATAATTTTTAACTAAGTAAGAAAAACTTGATTCAACTGGGTTTTTACGAAAAAAAGCAATTTCCACGATTGCAGCTACAAATACCAAGAGTCATACCATTTTAGAATCCTTACTAAATGCGCCAACTTTTGACGCTACTTGCCAAACTCGCGAAGTATAATTTTTTTTCAATACAATCAGTTAAAACTAGGTGATTTTTAATTTAGAAATTTTTTTAGAAAGTCTTAGTCTTAAGCTAGAGCAGCTGATTTTGAAATTTTGAAAACAGTTTAGAGAAGCATTATTCGGGGTTACACAATAAAAAAAAAGTTGTAAAAAGTAAAGATTTCTGACAACAGAAGCGAAAAGACCGTCACAGAATGTGAAATTTTTCGGTTTTTAAATTCCTATAATTTTGAAAACATACAACTTGGATTTTGTTTCACATATTTTTGACAAACACCATGACTTGCATTTTCACCCGGGTCTGGGTTGATGTAGAGTTTTGGAACAGCCTGTATAATTAACATTACCGATACCTTTTTATACTTTACTAAATTGCGGTTGTTTTATACGCAGCTATACTGTAATTATTGAGGAATTATAATCAGTGTATGGACCATATATGTCGTTATAAAAATGGTCCATTAGTGAATTAGAATCACTGTGAATGGATAGATTGGATTCACGTGTTCTAACCTAATGGCTTAGTTAAGTTGTTAGCATGTTCGATCACTATAATTTAAGAAATATTGAAACACTTATTTCTTAGTCTCATTTATTACTTATTTTTCGTCGTTATGAATATTTCACAAAAAATAAAAATTGTCCCGTTTTCGAAAAATTTAAATGTATTGAGAGTTTTTATATTAAAATTTTGATACAAACTGAAGTAGGATTAGATATTAAAAATGAATATTTGTTTATTTTACGCTTGGGTTTTATGTGCAGCATTTGGCATGGTCATATTTTACAAAAACAACAACTAATTAAAGTTTATTATTTAAATACTAATGATATAGTAATTTTATGAACCAAAATAAAACGAAAATATAATATGTATGATAAATTTCCTTCGATTAATCGAAAAATTATTCTCACCTTATACATAAAAAGTTTTATAAAGTTTCCTCTTATTAGGTAACTAAACTAACATTAAAAATCTTATTACTTATAATATAAGAAAGAAATTTACATTAGTATATAATATATACTGACTTGACCAGGAAAGCAACATGCTTGTGATTTTTTTTACATATTTATATTTTTATTTATTTCAGCGTTTTATGTGTTATTTATGGCTGAAGGCTTTGTATCCAATTCCACAATAAATGAAAAAGTTAATACCAGCGTAAAAGAGCAGAATAATATTTCTGCACGTATGTAATTATAGTTTTTGGATGGAGATCCTTTTTATTGGCAACAGGACATTTCATCTTAGACCTCGGGGGGACTAAGGATCTGCATTTTGATTCTTAATTGAAGATAGATTTTAACGTCACTAAAACTGACCCCATGATACAAAATCGTTACCAAACGCTTTTTAAAAAATGTTTTTGAATGCCACTGTTGTTGTACTTTAAAATGAAAATAAATATCACTCTCTTCTGATTTACAACCCGTGACTATAAACCTCCCCGAAAGTAAAATTTTTAAAGTAGACATATTAATAAATATCATGTTATATTCCTTGAGAGAGGCTTTTGTTTAGCACTGTTAAGTCCATTAAGGGACCGTATTAATAATGACGATGATTTATAACTCTACAAAATACAGACGTAAACGTAATGACCATAATTGAGTTAGCTTCTAAACCTTTAAAAATTTACCATTCACCATAGTCGTTTTAGTGGCGAACTTTTTAAATTTCTGTATCGATTGGTCAAGTAACTTTAGTTGACAGTTTACTTTTGTCGTGGGAATTAGGGCACATGTAATGTTAGGCTATGAATTATATATCATATGTACCACTGTTAACGATGAGACTTTCAATGTTTTAGATTTAATACCGTATAATTTCATGTCTATAATATTGCGGGAATTAGTAAACATAGTTGTTACAGAGACAATTTCTATTTATACGAAAGTATTTTTTATGAGTAAAGTATAATTAAAGCTATATTCTATATACGTTCCGCTCCTGGGCATAGGTTTCATATAATTTCTGTGTGACTTTTGGGGCAAGGTGAAATCCACCACGCTGCCCAAATGCATGTAGGCGGACTTCACTTCTCTTCAAAACATTCACTTATATCTGAGACGGTTTTCTCACGATATTTTCTTTCACCGCCGAGCACGTTGTAAATCATTACTCAAAATTATCAACTACAATTTCATTGGAACCCGGGTTGCAGCTTACATGCTACGAAATTTACTTTGATCGGTTAGTTTCTAAATTACGAGTACGACATGTTTTATTTAATAAATTATACAATAATATCGGCTCTTATTGAGATTCATTTTATACCGTTAAAAATATTATACCCACAAAATTAAGAATTTTTCAGATATCCCAGACAAGTTTCACATATTATATAATATCATATATTATACAAACACAGAAACAAAAAAAACTACTACTTGATAGATGATTTGATGTTATCTCCTTCAAATTACTATATTCCAAAAGTTCGGTTTCGGTAACAAAGATTATGTTTTTCGTTCGATTAGATAATCGACTTAAGTATCATAGTATCTTGTGTCTTATACAATAATACAAGATATAATATAATACAAGATAATATAATACAAGATTTCACGTTTACTGCTAAAAAACTCCTTCGTCGTATCTCCTCAGTTTCAAGGGACTCCCCTTGTTGCCTCAGCCCGTATCGGAATCCTCGGCGTCGACATATCGAGTGACGTGCAGTTTCGTGGTCACTTGGAAGAGAAGGCCAAACTGGCCTCTAAAAAGCGTGGCGTGCTCAGCAGAGTGTGACAGTATTTTATGCCGGCTCACCGCCTGCAACTTTACAAGGCGCAGGTTCAGCCACACATGAAATACTGTTTCCATCTCTGGGCCGAGGCTCCCCAGTGCCAGCTCCTTCCATTTGATCGCATCCAGCGCAGAGCTGTTCGAATCATCGGCGACCAAGCTCTTTCCGATCGGCATAACTCACTGGCACTGCGAAGAGATGTTGCATCTCTTTACGTATTTTATCGCATCTACCACGGGGAGTGCTCTGAGGAATTGTTCGGACTAATTACAGCCGCACAATTTCACCATCGCACATCGCGACAAAACTCGCAATACTATCCATACTATCTGGATGACTGGCGGTCCACCACCGTGCAATTTAAAAGAAGTTTTCTTCCTCGCACAACTTCCTTGTGGAATCGAATACCATCAGAGATTTTTCCGGACTGATACGACTTAGGGACCTTCAAGATAAGAGCCTACTCCTTTTTAAAAGGTCGGCAACGCACCTGCAATTCCCCTGTTGCAGTGTTCATGGGCGGCGGTAAATTACATACCATCAGGTGAGCCGTATGCTCGTTTGTCCCCCCCCCCTCTCCTATAAAAAAAATATTTTTACCCGCTTTGTTATAAAAAATAAGGTTCAAAACAAGCAACAATACTCAGACTATTTATTTTACAGCATAGGAACACTTGTTCAGTGCGGAAATGAAACCTCGGTCCCACAGTGCCGCAGCCAAACGCTTAGCCACTGCGCTACGGATTCGTCATTTACTTTTTACTTACTTATCTAAATACTAGTGAAATTGTGCGTGGTTTTAATTTATTTTGTGTTTTTTGTATATATTTTTGTATATGTAAATTACATTGATTTCTTATCCTAATCGGCATTTTTACTCAACCCCCATGTAAAAACTTTTATTTCTCATAAATTATTCAGTATAGAGAATAGAGATCTGAGTTTTATTATATAAAATATCGATCGACATTTACAGCACACTATAATTCACCTATGTTGTCAGCACTATTTGTTAAAAATTAAAATTCAGGTCTTGATATTGGTAGAGTAGCTTGGCGCTCTTTCTTACATTTACTTTTACTAAGTTCCGCCTCTTAAATGTAGTGATTATGTTATCTTTGCTACATAATAACGTTTACGATTAATACTTACCTACGATTATAACGTTTATGTTTACGATTATATGCTCATTGATTACGGCAACCACATCACACATGGTATAGAAATACGATTTTAATTTTTATCGCTCTAAATGTGTTGTTGCATTTTGTAGTAAAAGAACCACGAGCAATCAAAAAAGATTTGACTTAATTTATCAATGTCTGAACAGCAAAGATGTCCGTCTGCCAGTACAATTGCAGCGAGCGATGGCTGCTGAGGCTGAAGCTGCTAGAGAGGCACGAGCTAAAGTAATTGCTGCTGAAGGGGAACAAAAAGCTTCCCGCGCTCTACGTGAGGCCTCTGAGGTCATTGGCGACAGTCCTGCTGCTTTGCAACTGCGTTACTTACAGGTAGATATTTTACTCAACACTATTTACACGTAACCAAGTATTATATTGAGTAGCATCCCCCGGAAGTTATACGTAGTTCTTCTCTTTCAGTGCACAGTTTAACGCGTGTCCCGTTCGTACATGCCTGAATCGTCACGCAGAGTTCTGATACTGCTCCCATTACCGTTATGTTTGTCATAAATACCATCTACATAGACAATATACCATCTAAGTACATCTTAATGTCATTGCGCATAGTCAGTCGTCTCTTACAACTCCAGAAGAAAGAAAGGGGACAATAAATTTAGTACGACGTCGCCACACAGCAAATTAGTTAAAGTTTAGCCTTATTTTCAGTTTCCAAATTAGAAGAAAAAACGAGGAAAGGGATCCGCGATTGAACAATATTTTATTTTTTTATTATGTATGTACGTATTTACGCAATATCATCGTAAAACCGAACCTATTTTAGTGATCCTTCTTTTTATTTAATGGATTAATGTATATACTTATTTTAATATAAATACTTATTATAATTATTTAACTATTTAGATGGCGTAGTAGTTCACTTGAGCTTGTCATATTCTTTAGTCCACTCAAGAGATTTAAAGAATTAAATGATACTTTTTAAGTTCCAGGTAAACAGTATTTGCTATTTAATTTTAAATAATTCTAAATGCAAATTCCTGACTTTCCGTTGCGAGCGAGACACAACTTATATCTTAACCAATGTTTATTTGACAGGCTTTCGAATCGCACAACTCAATGCGTATTAAATTTTAACACAAATCAGCAACAACGAAAATTATAATTTAGAATACTTTTGATAGGATGTATTGAATAGATGTTTATATTTTTCTTTTTAAATAATTAGGTAACATATTTAGACGAAAATAAGATTCTTATTTGACCATAAAAGTAAGACGAGATTAAATGAAATGAAGAATATTATATACTATTAGACAGAGTAGCGTATAATATTATTCTACTATAACGTAGATGCACAGACCGCGGCCCGCGGGCCGCATGCGGTCCGCCGGTCGAATACTGGCGCTACTACTACCGGCGCGCTAACGCCGACAGCAAAAATAGTACCTTCGAAAAATATTGAATTATATTCCAGAATAAAACCAAAAAAAAATATGTTCGAAAAGTAATTTGAATCTCGCGCGCGCGCTCTTAAGTGCGCCGTGTATGCGTCGGTAACAGCGTTCGTGCTGATCTCGGTTAAATTCGTTTTCTTGAGGAACCGCCGCGGCCGGCGGCGCGGCGACGACGGCAGCGCGATAGCGGCTTATCCATGGGTTATATTGTTAGAGCAAGCGAGATAGCAATAGTCCCGAATTCCTTCCTTCTTCCAGAGTCGGTTTCGTGATTTCTCCAGACAGTTTTCGACTCTATACGCGCGGTATAAAAGCCACGCTAACCGCAGCGACCGACAGTTTGGTTTTAATTTGAGTGAAGTGTCAATAGTTCTAGTGTAGATTTTAACTCTACTAGCCGGTGTCATATATTTTGATCCACATTCAACATAGATTTCCCGTCAAGTGCCGTGTATAATTGTGTTGTGAAATCGTAAGTAAAACTCTGTTATTAATAAGTGTTTCCCTACATATTTAATCAATTATTTTTGGTAATTTAAAAAAGGATGGGTAATTTAAGTAGGTACTGTACTGGTGCTGTGTTAATCCTAGCCAGGATTAGAACGCAACATGGACAAGCCAGGACCTAGTAAAAAACGTAAGGTGAAAGATGAAAATCGGCAGTTTCAAGAAATTTGGACTGAGATATACTTTTTTGTATGGTCGCATAACAAAGTCGTTTGTTTAATTTGCAAGAATTCTGTTGCGATTGCAAAGGAATATAATGTAAAAAGGCACTATGAAACGCAGCATCCTATTTTTACCAAGCTTACAGGCGAATTAAGAAAGCAAAACATGTTGTCTTTAAAACGAGCTTATTGGAGAGCTATGTTTACCCATTCAAGATTCAGAAACAGCTACAGAAGTTAGTTACGAAATTTCTCGAATGATAGCAAAGCGAAGTCGCCCCTTCAATGATGGAGATTTTGTAAAAAAATGCATAGAAATTGCCGCTAAGAAAATGTGTCCAGAAGCAGCAAAAAAGTTTGAGAAAATTCAAATGAGTTTTATTACTATCCAAAGACGAATTATGTCTTTGTCAGGTAATATTGCGGAACAATTAAATGAAAAAACTATGGTCATTGAATTTTTTTCATTAGCACTCGACGAATCCACTGATATTAGTTTCACAGCTCAACTTCTAATATTCAACTAAAATATTGAGTAACACCCCGTGTGTTACTCAATATTTTGAAGTCTTAGAAGAGTTATTAGGAATGTGTTCATTGAAAGGTCAAACCAGAGGAGTTGATATACTCAATGTACTTTTGGATGAGTGTTCAAAAACTGATTTGGACTTGAATCAAAATTATCGGGAGTTGCGACTGACGGTGCTCCTTCGATGATTGGTGTCAATTCTGGGCTGGTTACTTTGCTGAAAAAGCATCTGCAAGAAAAATACATAAACGCTGAAGATCTCATGCAGTTTTACTGCATTATACACCAAGGAGTCCTCTGTTCTAAAAAAATTGAATTTCAAAATGTCATGAAAGTGGTAGTTTCGACTGTAAATTTCATAAAATCACGAGGACTCAATCACAGGCAATTCAAACAATTCCTTGATGACATCGAAAGCGAATATGGGATTTACGTATTATACAGAAGTAAGTGGCGTCGTGGACTGACACTGGAACGATTTCTAAATTTAATAGAAGAAGTTGGAATTTTTTTGGCGGAAAAGCAAAGGGATCTCCCGGAACTTAAAAATCCTGATTGGTTGTGTGATTTGGCTTTTTTAGTTGATATTACAAATCATTTGAATGTCTTGAACACACGGCTTCAAGGCAAAAATCAACTGATATCCCAGCTCTTACGCTCGTGTATCATCCTTTCAATGCAGGCTGACACTTTTCAGATCGCAACTGAATTCTGGAAATTACAATCATTTTCCGAATTATAAGAAAATGGCTAAAAAATTCAACAAAACTGCGATTAATTTCAGTTATGTAGAAAAGCTAGATATTTTGATTCAATCTTTTCAAGACAGATTTTCGGAGTTTAAAAAAGTGAAACCTCTGGTGGACATATTCAGCAATCCTTTCACGATTTCAGTTGAAAATGCGCCAGAGTCAATGCAGTTAGAAATTATCGACATTTAAAACGACCAAGATTTACGCAACAAATTCAACGAAGGAGACTTGCTGAACTTTTACCGCTGCATTGATAAAAATACGTACAAAGAGTTGCGCATAAACGCTCTGAAATGTGCTAGCTTATTTAGTTCTACCTATATATGTGAACAAACCTTTTCAATACTAAATAATAATAAAACAAAAAATCAAAACCGCCTTGCAAATGAAAGTTTGGAAGCCATTTTACGTGTTGCTACAAGTAAATTTGAGCCAAATATAAAAAAGATTGTAAGCACTATGCAGTGCCACGCTTTAAATTAATAAATTCTTTTTCAATTTTAATACATTGTGGCCGTGGAAGGAAAAGGGGAGATCTCCCGCCAGGCAAGGTGTACTGCCTGGGGAGCGGCCGACACTCCATGTGATAGTTCGGAGATATTCTATATATCCTGTTCATGATTCGGAATGTTGATAGCGTGATTTAGGCTTCGGTGTGTTTCGGTGTGCTAGTGGCGCGACGACAGCGCCGCTACATCACCCCCCTGCTCAGACCGGAGGTCGATAGTGCAGCCTCGTTGCCGACGAATGTGCAAGTGCCAGGAGATTGCCTTGTAGTCTGCGGTGAGTCGAGAAGAAGGCAAGTAATCTGCGAGAGTGCCGTGAAGCAGAGGCGAGCAGTAAGGTTCAGAGCCGTGCCGAACACTGTATAGTGCAGAGAGTAGCTTGAAGGAACAGGAAGCATTATTATTCCAGTGCTGCGATGAATCTTGTGAAGCTAGCTGGCTTGCAGGATATGAAGACTGCAGACGATATCTGCTCGAGAGCGAATGGGTGGGGTATTTTATGACGATGATGAAGCTTGAAATTTCCGAAGATTGTTGGTTGCATGTTCAGATCACGTCGGGGTCACCACTGTGGCCGTGGAAGGAAAAGGGGAGATCTCCCGTCAGGCAAGGTGTACTGCCTGGGGAGCGGCCGACACTCCATGTGATAGTTCGGAGATATTCTATATATCCTGTTCATGATTCGGAATGTTGATAGCGTGATTTAGGCTTCGGTGTGTTTCGGTGTGCTAGTGGCGCGACGACAGCGCCGCTACAACATTATTATCAATTCTTTATTGTCTTTAATTACCTATACTTCTGGCGGCCCGCCATCAGTTCATAATTTGCCGAGACTTCTGGCCCCTCGTCATAAGTCTCATGAAGAATATTATATAGTACAGTGAGCAGACTTCTAGGGGCCCCACTCGGTCAAATTTGAACGATGGCGGGCCCCAAGTATAGGTAATTATACTGTGGCGCCAGAAGTATAGGTAATTCTGAATTACCACAAGTATAGGTAATTATGAATAGCCGCCTAGGTAACTATGAACTGAGTGGGGCCGGATGTTTAGTGTAATTTGAACTTAGCGGGCCAGAAGTATTTATTACTAGTTGTAACCGATAAGCTATTTATCCAAAAACGTAATGAACATTTATTTATAACCATAAATAATTTCGAGAACAATTTTAAAAATGACGTTAAGCAAAAAGCGTTATGGCTCAAATTCCAGCCACCCTGCACAAAATGTCGTTCTTTTGTGTACCTAATGCCAGCATAGCATAGGGTTGCGCCTTATGAGTTTTTGATAGGTGATTTGGAAAGTTTTAGAGGCACTCGTAACTCGTAACAACTTTTAATTTTAAATCATGCATGTCACAAGCATGTAATGCCGACGCCAGCAATTATTTTATTTTAACGTTTTACTACTCACCTTACTGTGTTTTATTTTCAAGCAGTTCAATATTTTTTTAATTAAACAATTAATTAAAGCAAATTATGAAAAAAACATATGAAGCACATCGGTTCCTTATAAAATAATTATGCAAGTTTTCGAATTATCATCATCGTTACAGCCCTTCACAAGTCCACTACTAAACATCTTCCTCCACAGACTGCCGCAAAGCATGGTCCTGAGTCACTTTCCTTGTCACAATTTTTTCATTTATTTTCTAAGTTATAATTAGTGTTACCATATCAGATTTAATTGTATTTCTTGCTTGTTTTTGCCTTTCTCAAAAAATAATTGAATAGATGGTTGGTGGGTGTTTTTAATATACATCGAATGTCTCATAGAAAAGCAAGTAAATTTTTTGCTAAACTTTAAAATCAAAAATCAATTTTAAAACATAGACGAAACGATCCTAACTTTTTTAACTTTAAAATAAGTTAAGTTCTAATTAATCGTATTTATTCCTGTTTGTGATAGCCCTGATTTATATTACATGGCTGAAATTAGGTACTTCTTATTAGGTACGTAAAAACAAATATCAGCCTGACGGTTGACATTATGCACTCCATACATTTCATGTATCTATTTACAGTCCAATGAGGCTTTAATTACCACTAAAATAAAACAAAAAAACTTGTAAATTTAAACTAAAATGTCTGCATTACTATGCCTGTAGGCATATTCATGTGAATCAAAAAGTCTAAAGATGAGCTAATGTAAAATAAGCTTAGTTTTATCGAGACCACAACTTATCAAAAAATCAGGAAAATGAGCATTTCCGTTGCTTACGCGTTTTGATTTTTATTTTAAAACTGTTAGATTTATGATTGTGTGATAATATCTGAAATTAGCTTTCCTCTAGTGACGAAGAAGTTTTTAGCTGACAATATTTGTAGTGAAGACTTCCAGAAACCTTTTATACGAAGGAAAACGGTGAAAGGGCTGGAATTAAGGGTGTGACTGGTATTAGGGGCCTCAACCCTATTACTCTCTATATTTACCTGAAATTTAATTACAATTGGTTCAGCCATACTGGTGATTAGTTCATATAGACGGAGCAGACTATATATATATATATATATATATATATATATATATATATATATATATATATAAGCATACGGAGTTTTTCAGGGTAAGTTTGGGTTTAGACGATAGGTCAATTATGTAACACTTAATACGATAAAGACATTGATTAAAACTACTTTTACGGATTTTATCGCGTTTTATTTTAATTTTAATTATTATATTTTTAATCCAGACTAGATTAGTGAAGAACTGGTAAGACATCCAAGAAGTCAATGCATTTAGGTGGATCAGAATTGTGTTTTGTGGCATACTTTGTAGGTCATGTTAGTGGACTTGTGAAGGACTGTACTTGATAGAGTGGATGGACCATAGTCTATACAGTGTTATAGATATTAAAAAAGATGTTTAAAATGTTAAAAATTAATTAGTTAACTTTATGTCTTACCTATTTTGAAAAAACCTTTCGTCGTCTCACAATTGCCTGCATCATACCTGTCACCAAAGACGTAAGTAAAAACATCTTAGCCTATCACCACTAATCCCAACACCACTACACTAGGAAAGACTCACCACCGTCGATAATACGATACGATCCTTGACTGAATGCTAAAACTCAGACCACTGAGACACGTGTTCCTTTTTACTATATCATAGTATTGTTATAAGAAGCAGACTAGTTTATTATAAATTTAAAAACTTTTAAACAACAGAAAATAGTTACTTATTCCTTTTTTTTTCAGACTCTGAATACTATTTCGGCTGAGAAGAACTCAACGATCGTGTTCCCACTACCAATCGACCTCCTCACGTACTTCATAAAAGCAAGAGAGGAGTCTTAAGTAGTGGATCGCATCTCTTCTTTACAAAAATTATTAATGAAATATGACATTGTATTATAAATTAGATTGTATTATAGAGTACTAGTCAAAACAAAATGACATACTAGAATAAGTCTAAAAAAATCTTTATATTTTTTTTTTTATATCTATATATATATACATATATATATATATATATATATATATATATATATATATATATCAAGATAATCAAACTATATTAATATTAAAAAAAATTATAGAGAGCCGTTGAGTAAGTGATATTTAGTAGTTTTTTTTTATAGAATCAGAGTGACAATCGAGCACACGGTTCAATTGATGGTAAGTAGATGCTGTGGCGCATAGACATCTACATTTATCCTTGATTAAGAATCAAAACGCACATGCATTGTCACCCCTAAGGACTAAGATGGAATGCCTCATTTCCAAGAAAAAAGGGTCTCCGCATCTCTACACTCACCATTAGAACACAGCAGTTTTAAGCTGCTATTTTATGCTGCTACTCTGTGAGAGCGTGGTCCTTTCCCGGTCGAGCCAACCCATTCGTGCTACAATTATAATATAGCTGCATCGTGGCTCTACCACGTATGAAAAATTAAATTCTAAGATCTTATTACTTGTTATTTTGCCACATGTCTCGCCTTAGTAATAAACGTTGTAGATACATTTAGCAAATATTTTCATCTAAACGCTGTAACTGTTTTGTGTAAGGTTACGTTGTAATTGTAAGCTCTTATTTAAAAAAAAACAGTCCCGCAAGGTTTGTTGCTGGTTTTTCCCAGGACAGAGGCTTTTTTGCGAACCAGTGGTAACGAAAAAAGAGACTTTCAGTAAGTATTATTTATAATCCATATTAAATAAAAAAGTTTCTGTTTCTGTTGTCACTGTTTGATAAACTCAACTAAAATTCCACCAAAAAAAAATAGTAGCTTAATGCTGCTGTGTATCGTGTGGTGAGTGTAGAGAACCGGAGACCCTTTTTACTGGAAACGAGGCATTCCATCTTAGTCCTCACGGGGACAACGCATTTGCATTTTCATTGGTAATCGAAGATAGATGTAGATGTCTATGGGCCACAGCAATCACTTACCATCAGGTGGACTGTGTGCTTGTCTGTCACCATATCCTATAAAAAAAAAAAAAAAAAAAACATTACTTTTGTTAAAAATGGCTTTCCTTCAGGGTGGGTTTGTGGCCTTTTTTATCAATCCATTATTTTATACAACATATTTGATTGCCCAGCACTCTTAAAGGAGAATTAATCGGTACAATAATCTGCGCAGTGTTTGCCGTTAATGTTTGCCGTATTAATGCTGGCAAACGCATACCACTGCGACGGTTGATGTCTTTATATAGAGAGTACGCAGATATATTATAGAGATACACACTCTATATTTATATATCTATATAATACATAGAAATATACACCCTATATATACACATATATCTTAATATATATGAATTACGTGTCACGTTGTTTATCCGCGATGGACTTCTAACTACTTAAACGATTTTAATCAAATTTGCACACCATGTGTAGTTTGGTCCAACTTGAGAGATAGGATAGTTTTTTTGCCCATAAGTGACTCATATGTTTTTGTGAATTTAAGGATTTTTAATAGGACATGACAAAGAGTCGTTGAAAAGGGCAGAACAACGTCTGCCTGGCAAGCTAGTATATATATATATATATATATATATATATATATATATATAGAGAGAGAGAGAGAGAGAGAGAGAGGAGAGAGCGAAAGGGAGCAAACGAGCATACGGTTCATCTGATGCTAAGTGGTTGCCGCCGCCCATGAACACTGCAACACCGGAGAATTGCAGGTGCGTTGCCGTCCTTTTAGAAAGGAGTAAGCTCTTTTCTTGAAAGACCCTAAGTCGTACCGATCCGCAAAAATCGCCGGTGGTAAACTATTCTACAGAGAGGTCGTACGCGTAAGAAAACTCCTCGTGAAACGTACAGTGGTGGACCTTAAAGCATCCAGATGGTATAGTTCCAAGTAACCACGAAAGTGCACGTCACTCGATATGTCGACGCCGAGGATTTCGATACTGGCTGAGACAACAAGGGGAGTGCCTTGAACCTGAGGAGATACGACAAAGAGGTTCTTTTTAGCGGTTAATGGGCAAACTTTTGTCTTCTGAGGGTTAAACTGGACTAGATTTAGTCGCCTACAATCCGAGACTTTGTTCAGCAAGACTCGCCTTCAAACACAAGTTTGTCCCGGTACTCAGAGACGTTTTCCCAAGAAATATTGGCACGGCCGGTGTCAGACAGAGCATCACCAGTGCTGTCATCAACATAACAATGAATGTTACCGGTTTGCAACATATCAGAAACAGAGTCGGTGGTAGCACGCAGCCTTGTGAAACGCCTGCATTAATAGGCTTGTAATCGAAGCATGCACCGTCTATAACGACCTTGATTCTCCGATCTGCAAGAAATCTGGTGATCCAATTGCACAATTTATCGGGAAGCCCATAGGAAGGGAGCTTCGACAGAAGCGTTTTGTGCCAAACCCGATCGAAGGCCTTAGCAATGTCTAAACTAACGCCCAATGCCTCCCCATTGGACTCTACTGCCTCCGCCCATCAATAAGTCAGGTAGACCAGAAACTCACCAGCTGATCAACCCCGAAGTAAACCATATTGGCGGTCTATAATCGGTTGGTGATCTCCAAGGTACCGCATGAGCTGGCAGCTTATAATAGATTCAATTATTTTGGATTCATTTATAAGGCAGTAAGGAGGTGATGGCAATAGGCCTGTAGTTTGACGGATCTGAGCGATCTTGCCCCGCATCCACGTTTTTTCTTACAAACAGTCCTGACTGGAAAGTTTCTCATATTTCGGAATGATAATGATCGCAGTTTTCGCCTTTCGAATAAAGAAAACTCTTCATACTCCCATACATTCACCCTCTTTCTTCAATTGTTATCATTTTCTGTTACAGCTGTACACTCATGGCACTCCTTCCTAATACAAAGACTTTGTGCTCGACCGCGTTTTCCCTTCAAAATTCTACTCAAAACTTGGAATTCTAATAATTCCCATCATACTTCTTGTCCTTTTTTATATATCCTAACTTCCTTAAGACGAGGTCTAAGCACGATTTCAAATTCTTTTTTCACCAGCGCGTCCCACATTGGGCGGAGCGCAGCCGCCAATCTGAGAGCACAGCGTGACACAGAGCGTCCGGAACCGATCTTTCAACTCGAACACTGCTCGAGAACTAAACGGGCTAGCGCGATCTATTTTTTTGCTACCCAAAGTGGGTTTTGACTTGAAAATCGTATATCACACTTGATGATAATGATGACTTTGAGTTCGAAGATTATATTTTATGCGGGTTTTCATCTAAGTACTTTTAATATAAATATGAAATAAAAAATCTAATTCGATAATTCTGTAAACCATTAGGTTGGCTTATTACTTAATTTATAAAAAAGGGTGACGCTGAAAATTCAGAGTAATTGAATTTACGCAGTTTTTTAATTCGTCATTTTGTAAAAAAAAATTAAAATAAACCAGACTTTTTTTTTCAAATTATGTTACGTTACTCCACTGCAACAGGTTGTTCTCTCCCTACAATATTTTTTGTAGTTCATAAATATGTTTTTATACACGTAAACGTTTGGAAATATTTCTTTTGGTTGATTTTGGACTTGTAGCCTGCCTTAACAGTCATTATATTGTGTTTGTATTTTTATTTTATTTTATAACTTAATTATATAATTCACGTACACTTCCCTTCTTCTGATTTCTTTTGTATAATTCTTTGCGTAATAAGTTTTTCTGGAAGTGATTTCTTTCAGACAAACTAATTACGCAAAGAATTTCTACTTTCGATATAACGGCGTTATTAGGCTCTATCAATTTAACTTTAGATATTAATGACTTGAAGTTTTCTTTTGTAGTACAACTTCTATTGGTAGTAGTCTACGCTTTTTAAATCATTTTCTTCAATAATCAATCATACGTAACACTCCTGCACATACGACCCAAACATTTTTAGTCATATTAGCACGAAAATTAAAGGTTAACTTGCATTACTTTCTGACATAACCTTAGCTCTATGCAAGCCAGAAACCAACAGTTCCATATTTTATAGGTCTTACATGGACAAGTGTCCCGTTTTTTTCTTGTAAAGACATACCCAAAACGGTCTCAGTCTACAAAACGAGGATGAAGATAAGCATATTCTAGGGTAATTCATTAGTAAACTCTTAATTTTTTTTATATCAGTTTATATTAACTGAAATACTTTTTGCTTATCCTACGCTATGATTCTTAATATACCACCACCATACTGCTTAATTTCTTGCCAGTTTCTTTATCTGACCCAAAAAAAAATTCGTTATATTTTTTAATCTTTTCTTTAAAACTCTCATATTTGGCATATAGCCCAGGAGCAATCGGCGCATGAATACCAAAAACTATTCCACCCCAAATGTTTTTATGCGATTCTCTTTAAATTTTCATACTGATGATATAAATGCATGTCGCCATGTCTCAACTCCGTGCCATTTAAACTGATTTTTTTTTCAATGGCAAGGAATTGTTATTTTTAAACGGGAGAGTTTTTCATATTCTTTGATAAAATACGAATAAAAAAGATCGTATGTTTTTTTACTATAAAGTTAATATTTTCGGAATTACGAATTTTTAAGGGTTATAAAAATCCCAAATTCAGATACTTTTGACCTATTAAAAAATATATAAAGAAATGTATGTATGCCTCTACTCTTTTTGCTTTACTTGAAAATAAAATTAAAAGGAGTGTGATAAAACAAGTATATCGACTCAATATAATATGTAGAATTGTTGATTCTCTATACATACATACGCATATATGTATGCATAGAGAGAATCAACAATTCATCAAACAAAAACAAGCACGATGTTTTCCTTCACCCAGCTGCACTTCAGCTGCTCCAGTGGCAGAACAATTTATATGAAGCTGTTCACACTTATCCGACACACAAATATCT